GCTACAAAGTAGAACATAATGGTTAAGTAGGACACTGATTGGCACACTATGAATAGCTAAGACTGACCAAAGGTACATAAATGACAATTATAAACGACAGTTGGAATATTTATTTGTCATTAGCACTTAGATTTGTCATACTGAAGCATGATATTATTGTTATACGAGTACAACTTTATGCAAGATCAAACTTCTATTCAACTCTGAAAGAGACTTGATTTTTCAAATTAAGTTACAGGGTTATAGCTCTCTTTTTGAATGTGATTGGAGATGTTTCCTTAGCTCCGCTAAGCATATTGGCACTTGTCTCTTGCCTAAACCTCTTTGTGATTCATAACCAGACATCCCTGTGACAGAAACCCCTGAGAGCCCAATATAGTAGTCTGTCCAAAACACAGTGGTAGCACAAAGCACATCTCATGGCAACTTTCAAATAAATAGCCAGTCAAGGAGACTGAATTCATGGTGCACGCATTTTCGTAAAGCACTGTAGTAACAGTAATTGCTCTGAAGTATGAGATCTAAGTTGTAAAGTCTCCTCAGTCAGAAGAAATTCAAATTCGTATTTTAACAAAGAGAAGGCCACCAGAAAAAGGTTGTATGAAGACCTTGTGCTTTTCCATCCTGTAAATGGAAAACCTATGGTAAATAATTAAATATTTACATGACAGAAGAGAGAATATGGGGAACATGACAATAGCCTGTCAATGCAAATGCTCCCTGAAGCAGTGAGAGTTCTGGATTTAAATCCTCATTTCTCATGTCTCTTACTGAATTTTACTGGGGACAAATACTAGGATGGGCATCTAGCTTGAGGGTTGAATCATGAAGCCTGCAGAGACAGGCACCTTGCTTCAGTCTGCAGGAAAACTTTGAAGAGTCTGCTTTTGCCAATCTAAGTATGTGCTCTCACCAGCTAGGTAATCTCCCTACTGCGTATTCCTGCAGTCTACCTTGTGTTGCTATTAGCAGCTGGGTGGCTCTATGGTAAAACAGAACAGCTTGTTTACGCTCTGAAAAAAGGAAGATTAGTTTTCAGCCAGATCAGCAATCTGATCCATTTTGTGGAGCTGCACAATGACCAAAACCAATTGCATAACTGAAGAGAGAACATATACTGGAGGATGCGGGTAGTACCGCCCCTTTTGGGGTATCAAAAGCTTTATCCAGCTGAAATGATACTCCAGAGATGGACAAAGCTCAAAACATAACCTTGTCTTCAGTACTTCACTATTAGCTAGTTGTTCTCTGTTCAGTATATTGCTTTTTGCGGATTTTACTACCACTGCTGTTAACTATGAGCCTAGAGAGTCAATTCACAGGAATGAGGATGGTATTACATACACACCTGAGGGCTTTGATGCATACTTCCCCAGCAAAGATCTGCAGTCAAATTGCCCTGGAGCTGTTTGTTACTGCTCTTTGATGCAAAGTCATGAATGGCACAGCAGAGCCAGTGGAACAGGGTGCAGGCATCAGCTATCCTCACTGCAAAGTGCAGATGGAGGTCAGAGAGGTTAAACCGCTGGATCTGGCATGAAACTGTTTTGGTGAATGCACACACTGGTCTGCCAGTCCTGGTACAGGAACAGTAGCCTCCAGCAGAGAGAGCCGGCAGGGAGAAGTAGCACTGCAGAAATCAGTTAAAGGCCATTAACATGCTTAAGCCCATGCCGCAAAGCTATGTTACCCTCTAAAAACCTATTGTGTGGGGCTAGCACTTTCACTAAGCAGTAACAAAAATTGTCATATTCTTGCTGAGAAATGAGATCACAGGACTTTTCATGTTGATGGATTCATAAGAATGGGTACAGATTAAATTTAAATAGTTACAGTTCATTAACACTTTGAAGTTGCTATTGCTTTTATTTCACAGACCACCACCTGTCACTGTAAACGTATCAGCTAATCACACCCAGAGCGCGCTGCACCACCAAGTCTATTTACCTACAGTGATTCCAACTGTCAGAGGGGAAAAAAGAAGAAAATGAAAACGCAACTAATATTGTTAAATGCACAAACATCTAAAAATGTTTGCGCCTGACTCAGCAGCTTAATAACAACAAAACTAGTCACAAAATCCTGAGATTCTGCCACATCTGCTCCATGGACATTTCAGTAATGTTCTTTTGCTGTAAATTTAATAGAACTTCTGTAGAGGAACGAACAGATCCCCCAGTGAGAACATTTGTAGTTCAGTGGTTAACGTGTAACATACCAGTTGTATATTAACGCTAGAGTAAACTTAATTATATCAGTGATGTGTCCTCACACACACAGACTACAGATAATAGCACTGAAATCCTACAGGCATTCTCCATTTCAAAGTAAGGATGAACAGAGTTGTTGGAGTTACAGCAGTCATGCGATAACTAAACCCAAACAACAAATGCTAACAGAAGCATTTCTAAGTTAAAAAGCAATCAGCACCACTGTTGTTTTTACCCTGTGAAGGTGTAATAGATTCCAGTTTATACAGTACTACTTGTAGATTCCATCTGAAAGACCAACCTTGGATTCTCCGAAAATCTGAATTATTCCCGACTGAGGCAGTTACAGATCAAAGGATGTATTTCAGTGGTAGCCTACAAAAGGTGAAGTGCCAGGGAAGTTTTCTTCAATAAGTGCGTACAAAACATCGTCAAGGTTCACACAGATTGCTTTATTAAAGAACAATTCAGTGCCATGCAAAAACAGGGCATAGGTCACTTTATTAGTCAGACCACTGAGCTGAGATTCTTTTTCTGTCTACATTAGATGAAATGACAATTTGGTAAGAAGTTTTAGAAATAGAAAAAAGCAGACTAGTTAGAACCTAATCAACTTAAAACACAGTTGGACTTTAAAAAAGCCCCACAACTTTATAGACAGGATGCATTCAACTGTACCACTAACTTGCAAATACTCATGTTCTGTGCAGGTTTTTTCTGCTTTTTGTAGTAAAAGTTGGATAGTAAAAACTTAAAAATACAAAATTCCTTTAAATCAGAAACAGTTTACTGATTTTTTTTTTTGCAACCCCAGCAGAAACTATCATAGAGTTTTTGCTTACTTTTGGCAAGGGTTTGTACTTGTAAAAATCTTTCTTAAAAAAATTCAGGTGTCTGCTAAGCATAAGAGAACAGCACTACTACTAACAACCTTCAAAGAAATATTTTAAGACAAAATATTAAGCACATTATTTTTTAAATTCAGAATTCTGTCCATAACATTAGAATGGTATATTTACAAATATTATAATTTAATATACTGTCAAATTAACAATATATTAAAATAATTTACACAACCTCTTTCATTTATGATAACTAATTCAGCATCACAACGCAACCTACATTATTAAACCACACATATGAGTACATACGTCTCACGGAGACAAGTAGTTTTGTTCTCATGTATAGATGAGCTGACTATGCTGTAAGTTAGAATTGTAACAGAGACATCAGGTACACTGTTACAGAACACTCTATCTTTCCGCATGGGCACTCATAGTCTCTAGAGGCGTACACTAGCTAGCACAGAGTGGCATAAGCACACTAGAAAGCAAGCCATGGATGTTCCCAACCTCTTTCAAAAATGAATCCTGGTGGATTCAGCTGCAGCAGTTTGAGACATTACCACCCAGCTGCCAGTACTGAACCTTCTGTGTTCAAGATCCACAATGTCATCTCCAAAGTAACAAACACTGGGATTTTTTTAATCGATTTGCACTTGACTGCCTGAGTTATCTGAAGATACAGTGGCCATGGCAGAATGGTTGTAGGTAGGACAGGTAGAAAACTTATCTTAAACCACTACAGATAGATTCAGAAAGAGCTCCTTTGAGGAAAGCTTGTTGTGGCCTACAGTGAACTGTGTGCTACAAGATGCTCCAAAGATCCAGCGACAGAAGTGAATCCTCCAAATAAATGACTTTGTTGATGAAGTTCAACAGTAGGCCATTAAAGATGGCTACTCTAGTTTCAATGGCTTTTTTTAAAGATACCAACTTGGAACATAAGGCAACAGTCATTCTAAGGCACAGTACACAAGCATCTAAACAACCTTATTTATAAATGATACATTAAGGTGTGCTTTTATTACCCTATGATTTTATTCAAGTAGACAAAGAACAATTAAAAATATTTATGACAAGACATGCTCATTTTACTCCCCCACTCCCTTTTAAATTTTCCTAGTTCCAGTTTAGCAAAGATTTAATCAAATGATCGGCAAGCCACCAAGCGAAGAAAACAATCAAACATCTTCAAATACCTATGGAACAATCTTCAAGATGCTGAGGTTCTATTACAATTGAATCCTGGTATCTCTAGACACAGAAAGTGACAAAACCAGCTTTGTTAGCTATAGGTAACTGTCATGCTCTAGGTATTCAACTGCTCCTTTGCAGGGGTAAACGTGCTACAAGAAAGGGCAAGCACACAGAATATCAGTGACAAGTAAATCACTGTGATTAAGATTCATAACTTCCACTACAAAAAACAGGTAACAAAGATTTCTAATTGTCCTCACATCCAGTCAGAGTCAACGCAATACTCCTTGAAGGCTTCTAGTACCAGGGATGTTTGGATGTCCTCTCTATTTAAACGTATTCTCAGCTGTTATGAAACAAGTTAGAAAGGTCCACATGGAGATGCTCCTTATCTCTTTAAAGCTTTGAAATAGTCTCCACTACTCTTCAAACACCTTTCCAAATGTCAGCATTTGCATGCAAGTTTCTTTTCAACAGAAAAGAAAACCTGAACTGAATCTTAGAAAGACAAATATTCTCAAAGTAGGTCTCAAGTGTGGAGGCAGAGTCCCTCCCGCTCCCTGCCCTTTATTCCAGATTTCTGTCAAGTATGTTTTTAAATGGCAAAGCAAAGGTCCAGTTCAATGTTTACTATTCATCACTTTTGACTAGTTAGTTCTTACAGAAACAGACTAAAAGCCATTAGAGACTTGGAACAACCATCTTAAAAAGTAACACCTGCAGAACCTTAGCACCTTCCTCCTCTAAGTTTAGATGTTAATAGGACAAAAGAAATTAAATGCAATCTACTACTTGCTCAGTTGGCTGACTTAGCAAAGGGCTAGAAACCATGAAGTGAAACTGAGTGAATCCTGGAATTTTGTTACATGCAGCACCTAGGAAAGAAAATAAAAAAAAAGTATGATTTGCTACATTTAGGTTTAGTGTCTTTGTCATTGTACTTTATCATCTAAAGACCCAGTTACTAATTCTACTACAATGGTGTAATTACTCTTTTACAATCTGTTTAACCCAAGACATCTTGAAAGTATTTAATTTTTAAGTACAAATACAGCGCTACTGACTGGTGTAGTGCAATTAATGCCCTTATAATACAATTCAAACTAGTAACATAAGTTAGGAAAATACCTCTCTCTCTTTCAATCCTGATTAACTTAATGAGTTCCTCCAACACTAATCTCTTAAATACAGAACTATGGGAAATAAGAGATCAAAGAACAGCAATAAGCAGTCTAACTAAATAAGCCATGTTGATTAGCAAGTTGTATTTCCTATTGATCTAAGAGTTCACTAATGACATGCCTGGCACAATGACTGATTTTGGATTGCTATGAAGTTATGCTTAACAGTCACATTCTCCCTGTCTTATGCCATATCTAGGGGAGGCATAGCAATTCTTTTTTTTAAAACCTTCAAAATATCATACACAGTCCAGGAAAACACATGAAGGTTGTAAATATTTTTGGGTTTTACTAAGACTTGCATAAATTTTGTGAAAGTCTAAGACATCAAAATGCAGAGGAAAAATTAAAATATCTCAAGTCCACACTAGGACACAGTTGCCCTACTAACTAACATTTGATATTATGAATGGCCAGTATTACTGCGACGTTCAAAGAATAATTAAAGACTTCTGCTTTAAAATCCACCTTTGGTTTTGTACTTCTGTGAGCTAGTTAGGGCCAACAAACTTTGTTAAGCGCAATACATACCATAACTTCCAGTTGTATTGGCACATATAACAGCACCAAAGAAGTTTGGAGCATACTTCTGGATTCTGGAAATAACTTTCTGGCAGGCTACTGTTGGGTCTGTTCCCATTCTCATATACTCCACAGCTTGATAACTAAAAAAAAAAAATAAAAAAATACCCCACACCCAGACAGTTAGCCATACTCAGGTTATATATTCTAAAATACCATTGAGAGACCTCGAGTTCTTTGAATAAAGGAAACACATGATAAATAATCTTTAGCCAAGCTTCATTTCGGCAATTATTACTCAAGTTCTACCTGAAAAATAATTAGAAACAGGACTAAAAGGGACTGCAAGATGTTACTTATGCCATTTATAATTATAATGCAGGACCAAGCCTGGGATAACTCTCTGATCATCTGCAGTAGAAGAGGCTAAGCAACAGATCAGTTAAAGAACTGTAAAAGAAGCAGTTGCAGAGTTAGTGGCTTTTATTTTTCATTGCATGATTCTGACACTAAAAGAAGTCATTACTAGTTTTCAAAAAGGCCACCATCAAGATAATTTTTTTGAAGTAAAATGACCTCTGATAAATTGATTTCAGTAAGCATTAAAAAAATCTTTCAGGAAAAAAACCCTTAAGTTTCCGAAAACCTTAAAATTGACACATTTTCTTTATTTCATGAATATGAAGGTACAATGTTTCGATCAAGACTTTGAGCCACTTTCAAATTTTTTGCAAGCCAATTTAAAAAAATTCTTACTCTAAATGAAAGAGTAATCAAAATGAACTTCCTTTGTATCTACAGTATCATTAGACAAATGACTATATGGGCATTACTTGAGATGAATCAGTTGCGTTTCCAAAATGTCCTCAGAGATAAAAAAATTACTTTTGCTGTCATTTTCTTTCAGAGCCTGAAGATGAAAAGATAATGCATAATATAACTTACAAGCAAACAACACTAGATTGTTTTCATGAAAGATGTATATACCAACTCCTGTTACACTAAGACTCATCTACAGATAGCATTAACTATGGATGTTATCAACGTACTGCAGAAGAGAAGTTTCCTTGCATTTTGAGACTCCCTATTATCTTTGATTTATTCTGACACTCAAATAGGTTCAAGTTATCTAAAGATACCTGAATATAAAGCTGTATTTCACAGGGGCTTCTCACTAATCAAAAACTCAGTAAAATGTTACTATCTCAAAGACGGTGGACAGAAAATATCACAAATTTTGCCCTTTATTTGACACTTCCTTCACTTCTGGCAGGTCAATTCTATTCTTTGTTTTCATGTGGGAGTATCTACATAACATGGAATTAGGAAAGACCTGTAGCTACAAGGAACCTGTGATTAGTCTGAGTTATTTTCTAAAACCCGTTGGTGCCAACACAAAATGTTTTAAGCATTACAGCCAAATCCTTCAGGCTGCTGATCTGTAAGTTTTTATTGATTAACCTCATAGTGGAGCTCAACTCACTAGTACTGTTGGTATCTGATACCTCAGGATAATTCATAAAGTTGTCAATTGCCTTTTATTTCAAGACTGGCTTGAAACAGCTTGAAACTCATTGAGGACATTTGTAAATATGCAACAGCTAGTAGGCGTTCATAACTGCCGGAATTTCAGAAAAAGCACCCAAGTAATATGAAGGCCACTGCCATATATTCCTTTAAGCATCAGAGCCCATTATGTTCAGCACGGACTTCCATAACTCATTCATGCTGAGACCAACCCACAAGAATGATTGTCAAGACTCAGTGATAAAAAATGCCATATTTTACACAAGTTATGCAACCATGATGACAGCACTAAAACACCTCTTCCAGTTTCAAATTACATACAAGTACATAGGATTGTTACACTGACACCTCCCCACCCTCCTGAGTAATCTGAGACTCACCCCTCATCCTTTCTACAATTTATAACATTATTTCCCACACAACAAAACACTTTGGAGGAGAAAACTAATCAGTTCTGTTAAAAAGCATGCAAGTTGGAAATATACTCATTACCTGCTGACTGTTTGCTCACAGCTTGGCAGTATTAAGGGGATCTGTCATCAAGATATTTAAGTTGCTTTGTTTAAAACAGATCATACGGATGACTTGATTCTGCTACTGTTCTTTCCCCTTCCATTCCTTCCTTTACTCCCAATTCAGCAGCCAGTAAGTCAGACTGTCTTTTTAATCAATTACTTCATTTGCTGAGTTCACATTTTGCTAGAGAAAGCTAGCAAAGTCCGCCCTAAGGACAAACCTGGGTAAGAAGCGCATCATGATGTCACCATCCCCGGTGGCTGCAGCTCCTCCAGCTGTACTATCCGCATAGGATCCTGCCCCAGCTATTGGAGAATCTCCTACACGGCTGTAGTGAACAATGGGGAAAAAAATGAAAAACTGGAAAAAAACTATAGAAAACTATAATTTACTAATTCCAGTGGGACTGCATTAATGTAATAGCTCCTGGACTGATATTGGCAAGTTCTTATGATTTGGGCATGCTTTTAACTTTGTCAACCTTACTGCCTCCAGCTGGGTTAGTCTTAAACCCACAGGAGAATAGAACAGGTAAAGAGGTCACTCCACTGCCGTCAAAAGTATTGTCTTAAAACTACTGATAAAAGTGATCTGTGATAACCTGACTGACCTGAGGCTTAATCCACCTCCAATGCACAACTGTTTGTTATTATGCTGACTATAGTTAGGGCAGTAAGGTTTAGCCAGTGGGCAACAGTAAGCAGCTGGGGACATTAGTATGTTTAATAACTTGATGCTAAATCCAGAAGTTGTCTGACTTGGTTGACAGACAAGATTACTAAATGGGTAGAAAAAAAAAATCAAAAACAAAATACAGGCCCAGGGCTCAGATTCTGTCTGCATTTCTCTGGAGACTGTGCACCTCTCCAGAATGCTCATTTGTCTCTGGTGCCTTGCCTTACATGTTGCCTCAGAAATGTACCAGTTGTTTGTGTCTCAGTATGGTGAATTAAGCCAGCTGAAAAACAAACATTCCCTTAAACACACACAAATCATCTTGCAACTGCATCAGTTTCCTAGTATTAGGATTTATGGCAGTGCCCAGAAATTTTGTGCCCATCATGGGATGGGGAAAAAAACTATTTTGTAAAACCAGAGATACTAACCCTGGAATTTTGTGGACTGCACCGTTAGTAGATGTCCCAGAAGCAACAGTTCCACTCCCACCAATTACAACCATACCTAAAATTTTCAATAGGGATGAAACATATTCAGAAACACACCTAACAAATTTCTTAAATCAGCACTAAGGTTATCAAACAGAACCACGATACACAGACTATTCAAATTACTGATATCCTGAAACACAGAAAAGTCATAAAGAAAACAAGTTCTTTGTAAAACACATTTGGAAACTTTTTGGGTGTATTACAAGTGCTCAGAATGGAATCCAGAACAGCGAGTGTCACACTGTTCAGAGCTGTACATTACTGCTGCAGAGCAGCCTCTATCTCCTGATATACACCTACATTAACCAGTACACAACACGTACCTTGTGTCATCACATCCTGCACCAGTACCATCAGAACAACAAAGTTTAGAAATCATAAGTGGTGCTGGAGGGAGATTAAAAAAAAGTCAAAAAGATGAGCTTAAATTTGGCAGAAGGTGAAATACTGCCTACCAAAGTAACAAGAATTAGACAACAGGCAATCAAATGTGTGGATAAGCCTACCCCTTGCTAACTTTGTGTTGATAAGGAAACCGCTGCCTCATTAGAGAAGCTTAGATTGGCACTTGGAACCAGATTTGGGATCAGCTGCTTCTCCATAAAGCAAGACTTCATCTCTTTAAGAGAGGGCAGAAATTGCTGCTGGCATCAAACACCAGTACAAAGTGAGAGCCAAGAAGCAGAATTCAAATTCTGTGTTCTCACTAAGCAGTACCTCCTTCTCATAGGAAAGTTTCCTGACCAGTAGAAGCTAAAAGCATAGAGGCACTGACTCTATGGCCATCATTAGCCTCTGCAAAAAGACTGGAAAGGCATCAGTTCCTACCAACTTCCTAAATACATTCTAAAGACTTCTCAAAATGTGTTAAGTCAAGGAGACATTTCATATATAAAAAACAAATGATGGGGTGGGAGAACTTGCTGTACAAATATAAGCACTATCATTTACTACAAAACAGCTTAGGACTACTTAACAACACTTCAATTCCTGAACTATATATAGCAGATCCCCCTCTCATCCTGTCATTCCACAATTTCTGAGTTTTCTAGAACACATTGAAGACTGTATATCCCAGTGAAGAAAGCTACCTAACAACTTAAGAATTTGGTAGGTTGTCTGACTTCTGTAGAACATTAATTGGTTTTTAGTAGGGTGGACTGGAAGCAAAGAAGAAAGATTCACACTTGAAACAAGTTGTTAATTCTTGGTATTGCAAATACTATCAGGAAAAAAGTTCTGAATTGCTAAACCTGAGAAAAATCCGGACTAAAAAAGTTTAAGTTTCAAGACTATGAAGTATAAAGCTTTGAAAGACATTAATCTGTTACTGCTCCTTTGTCTGATCTGCTCATTAATCAGCTTACAGGCTTAGCAATGAACAGTCCTCAATCAGTAAACTCTTAGAAGTCTTTGGGGATTGCTAACCTGTTTTAAGCGTATTAGTTTCTGTAGAAATTTATTAATTTAGTCAAAAGCCAGAATAGAAGAAAAATGAAAGCAAGCTTCATTTTAAAAGTTGAAGGACTGTTTGACAAACATGGCTTTTGGTTGGCAACAGGACTAACTGTTCACTCCTTTCTTCCACAACTGCAAAGCCTATTAAGTTGGTCTGACAACTATAGGGGAGATTTGACCTAAGTTAACCATAATCAAGATAAAAATAATTATTTTTAACCTTGATCGGCATCCAAAGCTGCCCAAGCAATTATGCCAAGATATCTGAGGGAAAAGCAGTAGGGCAATGAACAAATAGCTAAGGGCAAAGAATGAAGCAAGTGGCTGTGCAACCAGCACACTGGAAAAAAAAAAAAACCAACCCAAAAACCAAATCCCACTTCTAGGGATTTCATCCTAACACATAAGTAACACGATCTTGAAAATACCATCAATAGGAAATAATGCCTCTACGAAATACTTTTCTTTAAACTCAGTATGATTTAATCTATAGGAGAATAAGGAAAAAAAAGCACCAGAGTTACCAAAGATTGTTACCAATAGTATCATGATTCTGAACACTTCTTTGTGAGATGGTCCGTTCTTCTTTACAAGTTACTTTTTCAGGCCTTTTGTATGGTCCACAGGATTTTGAAGAGTCCGGTACCACATTCTGTAATTATTTTATTATTTGCATGAATAATATATTATGTGTCATTACAAATAAACTTAAAAATACTAAAATCAGTATCTATAATCTACTGCACACATATCAGATGCCCAATACTTAAATTATACAGCTGTACTGATATCCCAAAAGTTGTTTCATTTAAAGAATAAAGACTGACTTCTGCTATAATGCAGTAAAAAGTTCTTCCTACTAGAAAGTTACGTTGTTCAAAGATTCTTTTTTGCTCAATTGACTGGTTAAAAAATAAAAAGCTCACTCTTCAGTAAAATGAAGAAAATTTTCAATCTAAAGACAACCAGATAAACTGAGCTTGTTTTATTAATGTCAAGTCAAGATACTGTCCCAACTGAAAAACAGAATACCTATCGAATTAAAGTGGTTCAGCAATGCAGCACTTCATATCCAAGAAACAATGAAGACAGTCTACAAACATGAAGAGATCTGCAACACCATCCCAAAACAACAAAAAAATCTTACCACAATAGGCAAGTTTAACACTGACAGCTGCACTAATACGATGGGTTCACAGGTCTGCATAAAGTCACTCTATTTAAGGACCTTAATTGCTACTGATTTGCTTTCAGAAATTTATACATGCATCAAAAAATACATGCACTACTTTGTTTAGTTTGAGAAGTCCTGCCCAAATTTAGAGCTAAAAAAAAATAAAAATTCCCCCCATCAAAACACTACTGTAGCAATGTCAAAACCAGAAGGATCTAAGATATAGGAGTTAGACACATACTCTTAACAAGTCTACCAAATGCTTGGTAATTACAAGTTTGTCCTGTTTAATAGGCAAAACTTTTTTCCTTCACACGTAAAGCACAACTTCAACATAAGCTGAAAGGAAGAGGCAATGCTGCATTACTGACTTTCTAAACCCTCACTTCACCACCACCACTGCACCGTACCTTCCAGTAATTTGGCTGACAGCTCTGATTAAGCCACTCTGAATACACCAAAAGAGACTTTTGGGTAGTTAAGTCTTCATATGGAAACCCCATTCTTACAGCAAACAGGGAGGCTTTAAAAGCAACAACAACAAAAAAGCCATTAATTTACCCACATTTTTACACATTTTATGATAATGTATCCATGCAATGTTATCTAGAAATCAAGAAATTCTACATTCTCTACAGAGATGAGAAATATTTCTTCAGAGAGCAGTATCAACTATTATAGTGATGTGTAACGGCAGTAACAAACTCTCCCTCCACTGGCAACATCAAACTTCCCCATTTCACTAGAACTATATTAACACATATAAGTTTTACCACTGAAAGAGAAACAAATTCAACTCTGTTAATCAACTGGACACAAATAACCTGGAGTAAGAGTGGCCTGGGCTGTGTGTGTCACAGAAATATTTAAATAAATGATAGAAATAATAATATATTTTCCTTAAAAAGCTAGTCTTTTATGAAATGTAACACAATGGCACAACATTTGCCACTAAAATACTGATACTTGCAAACATCAATCCAGTAGCTCACATCATATTACACTTCTTCCTTGCAGTTTTAAAAGTGATTGCTTCCTTGTTTTGAAAATTAATGTAGTATGCATCAAGGGAGCAAAAGAAATACCAACATAAGCAATGAAAGAATGCTGCACTTCTAAGAATGGCTTTTATAGTTACAGAAAGGGAAAAGAAAAAAGATCAACTGTTCTTTCATCTTTTAGTTTCTGGATACCTTTGATATTACCTACTAACAGACACTGTTGCTAAATTCAGATGCTTGAATTAGTATTACCAATCCTTGATAATAATGTCACACAGCAGAACAAGCTTCTCCAGTCCATGAATTAAGAAAAGTCTTCAATTATTTCTGGACAGCTTTTCTGTGTTTTTCTTAAAAACTGGCACAATTGAAGTCTCTTTGCACTCAGAGGAAAAGAAAACTGACAGCTTCAGTTAAACAGATACTTATTTTCCCATTTCTAGAAGAAACAGGAAGGGTTTTTGGGGGGGGGCAGGGTTGGAGTTTTTTTAAGGTAAAATGGTGCTTGTGCATGTTTGTCAGTCCTTCTTTCATGAATTCTGAAGCTTTGCTTCTATTCCAGGAAGCAGAGTTGGTCACTTGTACTTTCTGTACTTTTTACTTATATTATTGGTCTAAGTATTGCTAGGACAAAAAGAGAAAAGGTCAGGCACACTGTGATTTTGAAACTTTCCTATCTGTTGGAGACAAGTCTGAAAATTTATGGGCAGATGATAAACAAAATAATTCTTTTTTTCTTCACTTGTAATCATTCTGCACTGAATGTCCCTGAGTCAGTTCTACATTGGCATACATGGCCTTTATTGCTAGTTTTCTTAGACTTGTCCTAAGGAAATTAGGCAATGAATGAAGAAAGTTCTTTTACCAGTGCAAGAACTGATCACTGCAGTTATCTGTATCCATTCACCAAGCTATACCACAGGCAAGAAGTAAGATCCAGGGAACTACAGGCTGGTCAGCCTCACCTTGATCACTGAGAAGGTGATGGAAGAACTAACTCTGGAAACCATTTCCAAGCACGTGAAGGACAAGATGATCATTGGGAGTAGTCAGCATGGCTTCACAAAAGAAAAGTCACACTTGATCAGCCAGCTAACCATCTATGATAAAACAACTGGTTTGGTAGATGAGGGGAGAGCAGTGGACATTGTCTACCTTGACTTCCATAAGGCTTTTGACACTGTCTCCCATAAGATCCTCAAAGAGAAGTTGATAAAGTACTGGCTGGATGAGCACACAGTGAGGTGGACTGAAAACTGACTGAAGGGCTTAGCTCAGAGGGTGGTGATCAGTGGTAGGAAGTCTAGTTGGAGCCAGTAACTAGCAGTGTACCCCTGGGGTTAATATTAGGTCCAGTAATGTTCAATATCTTCATTAATGATCTGGATGATGCGACAAAGCGTATGTACCTTCAGCAATTTTTGCAGATGATATAAAACTGGGAAGAGTAGTCGAAGCACCAGGGGGTTATGCTGCCATCCAGAGTGATCCCCACAGGCTGGAGAAATGGGCTGATAAGAACATCAAGCAGTTCAACAAAGAGAAGTTCCAAGTCCTGCACCTGGGGAGGAACAACCCCATGCACCAGTAGGTGCTAGGGGCACTCAGTGGTAAGGGAGTTTTGTGGGAGAAGGCCTGGTTCTGAGGGGCAGCAAGCTGAATGTCAGCCAGCAATGTGCCCTGGCAGCAAAAGCAGATAACAGAGTAGGCTGGGCTCCAGCATTTGCAGAAGTGTTGCCAACAGGTCAAGGGAGGTGATCCTTCCCCTCTACTCAGCATTGGGGAGGTCACACCTGGAGTGCTGGGTGTACCCCTGGGGTTAATATTAGGTCCAGTAATGTTCAATATCTTCATTAATGATCTGGATGATGCGACAAAGCGTATGTACCTTCAGCAATTTTTGCAGATGATATAAAACTGGGAAGAGTAGTCGAAGCACCAGGGGGTTATGCTGCCATCCAGAGTGATCCCCACAGGCTGGAGAAATGGGCTGATAAGAACATCAAGCAGTTCAACAAAGAGAAGTTCCAAGTCCTGCACCTGGGGAGGAACAACCCCATGCACCAGTAGGTGCTAGGGGCACTCAGTGGTAAGGGAGTTTTGTGGGAGAAGGCCTGGTTCTGAGGGGCAGCAAGCTGAATGTCAGCCAGCAATGTGCCCTGGCAGCAAAAGCAGATAACAGAGTAGGCTGGGCTCCAGCATTTGCAGAAGTGTTGCCAACAGGTCAAGGGAGGTGATCCTTCCCCTCTACTCAGCATTGGGGAGGCCACACCTGGAGTGCTGGGTCCAGTTCTGGGCTCCCCTGTACAAGAGAGACGTGGATATACTGGAAAGAGTCCAGTGAAGGGCCACAAAGATGAGTAAGAGACCGGAGCATCTCTCAGAGGAAAGGCTGAGAGAGCTGGGACTGTTCAAGGGGGATCTCATCAGTGTATGTAAATACCTGAAGGGAGGGTATAAAGATCAATCCAGGCCCCTTTCGGTGGTGCCTAGTGACAGGACGAAAGGCCATGGGCACAAAGTGAAACACGGACGTTACCTCTGAACTGCAGGACACACTTCTACATTCTCAGGGTGACCAACTTGACTAGAGGTTTCGGAGCCTCCCTCCTTAGAGATATTCAAAAGCCATTTGGACATGGTCCTGGGCAACCAGGTCTAGGTGGCCCTACTTGAGCAGGAGTGGTTGAACCAGAAAATCTGAAGTCCCTGCCAACCTCAACCATTCCATGCTTCTGTAAAACATCCTCTCTTCCTTAAGTTCTCTACGTACCAAAGGTTTTAAAATACCTAAACTTCAATTTTTTGAGTCAAAGTAAACAGAACTGTGAAGACTATTCAGGTGTCATGGCACTGCAACAGATTCCATCCGTGTTTTTAACACCAAAACCAAAAACTTCATGTTACTTTCATTAAAACTTTATTGCCAGGAACAATGTACTGGTCACATACTTAAAAATGTTCAACTAAACAAAAGTAATGTGTGCCACAGCTGGCTACCTCCTCTCTAGTGTCAACCACTCAGAGAAACGAAATTTTAGGAGACAGGCAGACTTTCCTGGATTATATCACTAAATACATTCAAATAAAAGTGCAGTGTAGTTATTGGGAAAAAAAATACGGAATCACCTCAGCAATTTTGCATCTTGAATAAAAAAAGCCTGCAGAGATTATATACATTTATATGAAAAGGTTTTACTATTCTAGCTAGCTTTTCTGGTGAAAATGTAAATATTTTTATTCAGAAAATAAATTGTGGCTTCTGTCACACGCTGATTTGATTCTTCCGAAGCTATAGCTCTATTTTCTCTTTATCAATCTTCACCTGGTAAAGACAACCTATAGTTTCCTTTATCCAAGTTCCTATTTCCACAGAAAATACATTCCTTCACAAGAAATATTATTCTTTCCCAACTTCTCCACTGCTTTGATTCATTTACTAACATTTATCACCATCTCCAATTTTTACTCAGATATATCTTCAGCTTTCCTATCTTTCTTTTGCCATTACTGCTAGACAGTTTATTCTGAGGAAGTTCTCACTGACAGCAAGGACTCAGCATTAACAGCCTTGCCCATGACTCCATTATGCGAAGAGCTACCTTCTTAGGCTGGAAAATATATTTTAAATCAGCACTTGAATTCTTCTGTTTCTTCACCTTCCTTATCTTTCTGCTCATTCTACCGATCAAAAGTTAAAAATATTTTGATAACTACCAATGTTGAAGAAAGGAGTATTATGAGCATTTCTTCCTCCTCTATTTAACACCTGACCAATTTCTTTTTTCAGCATCACCTGTGAAATTTCTTACCAAAGCCACCTGTAACCTAATCATGGCCAACTGCTCCAATTAAATAGAATCTGCAAATCTATCCCTCCTTTCAAACCTTCTGTCAAACACTGTCCTCACCTCCCTCTATTGCCCTATTTTACTCCATGAAAAAGCCTGCTTTTGCACTTATTTCTTTATCATTCTGTACACATTAATTCCTTCAAGGATCTTTTATCTTTTCTTATCAATTTCAAAGCACATGACTCACCCTTAATGCTCAGATGTCAATTTCAACACTTATCTCCAGATTTCTTTCTAGGTAGGCACAGACATTTTAAAAGTCCTTAACTGTGAGCCAAGTAACCTTCCACTCACTACTCATACCTCCCTGGAATGTACATCTCTCTTGAAACCAGTATTATTCTAACAGCAGCAACTCATTTTAAAAGCTCAACTAGTCCTCCAGTTTGCTATCACTCTTTTGTTCTGTCTAGCATTACAGCTCCTATGTTCTCACTAATACGAAATACAGTAATCATGCTCAATATATACTAAAATAGTAAAATGTAATTGTAGTGTCTATTAATTCTGTGATTTCTTAGAAAAAGTTACTCCATGATTTTAAATGAAACGTTTACAGCTAACAGATTCTATAGTGTCTTCTATCAAATCATCTTTGATACTTCCGATATCAGTGATATTAGCAAAGCCTTGGGATTACGAGTTAATACTTGCAGTTAAACTGGAAGGGCCATAATTTCTATTTTTCTTTTCATGACTTCCATTATTATGGACTAAAACCTAACTCATACACATGTAATAAGAGAGTAAACACTTCTGAATTATTTGACTAGATTCGTTTGACTGTCAGGGAATTCTTCCACCTGCATTACCAAGATTAATGTATGGCAATTTTAATAGGAAGCAGTTTAAAAAGAGGGTATGACTTGGAAACAGTTAGAGGAATAATTACCTGACTCTCCCACTAATAATGTATGCTTAGTGTATTCAATGACCTTTCGTGCTACACCAATTGCATTTTTTACATGTCTGAGATCTGCAACTGCCCCAACTTCCATAGTGTTGCTGGAAACAAGAAATATTTAAAACGTATTAAAAATACAAGAATAACTGTACATTTTTTATTAGACAAAATCTGTTCTCATCTAAATTAGAAAGCTTGCTCCTTTAACATATTGCTTTTATTGTTCTATTCCATAGATAGATGGCAACACACTAGTCGGGAAAAACTTCATATATGTATTGCTTCCTTTCACAGACATGGGGATGTTGCTCATAACAATGACTCCTTCCACAGTAATATCTTCGGTAAACTATTTTGTTACATCAACTCATAACACAAATCACACACTTGTAATTACTTTTTAATCAGAACAGCTTTAAGTGGTAAATAAAGTATAGAAAATAATTGTATAAAATTCACTTCCGACGTAAAATATTTATGGAATGAATGTGAAGGGCAAGCTCACAATGCTACAAGCCCTCTGCTTTGCAACTGCTATATCTAGAGCTGGATTACTGTACTACATGTAAAGATTCAATAACAAACATGCTTAGCTACTCTTCCAGCAATTAGCTAAGTATTTTTCCCAGTTCCCCAGGTTAACATGTAACTTGCCCCATAGTCAGCCCTAAACCAACATGTAACAACCCTTACATTAGAGTGTGCTAAAAGTTACAGGGTTCGTCCTTTTCCCCATGTAGTTTTCTTACCCATCCATAATCATTGCATCCAGTGTTGTTTCTCCACTTTCATCTGGGCTTCCTCCGTATCCCACACTCCCATCACATTGGTCAATCTCACACTGACCACAGCCTCTCTCAACCGCATCCAGCTCAGAACCTCCCAACTGTAATACTCTCCAAGCTGTAATCAACAAATAATTGTCATCAGTGAAAACAGTCCCCACTACTGCTTTAAAGAATGTTTTAAAGATGGACATGATAAAAATACACTATGTAATTGGATTAAAAAAGTAAACTATAACTTATAGGAGAAATAAAGTAAAAATATAAATATATTCAAAACAATGTAAAGCATTACTTTTCTAAATACTGTTTTTCTTGCATATCTGATTAGTGTTTCTGACTAAGAAATTAAGTTCTCTTTCTGATTGGTAAGGTATTATTTACTAACAATCATCACAACTTCTTATATATTAAATAACCTCCTCTGCCCAGAACCAACCATTAATTTACTAGTTTATTTAAAGCCTTTTTTTTTTGAGGGGGGGAGGGGGGAAGAAGAGAGGGAAGCAAAACTTTTTTTTTTTGAGATAAGAGACATTCTAACAAGCAGCCCTCAAAAGCTTCATCTGAGAATATGAAGTGTCCAGCTGCAGAATAGAAAGATCTAAACCACAGTGATCTAAAAGATCTAAACCTGCATCAGTAACTACACAAGAACAAAAAGAAAGTGGAAACAGTATACAAGAAATTACAGTCTCCACCTTTTCCTGTTCAACCCTTCGTCTTCTGTTCTTTAGGATCTAGCTCATGGTGCAGTTTCGTAAGACATTACGGACGTGCCAAATGACACGAGTTGAATGAACTGGGCCTGAAGGCTTTACATGACATTTCAGAAGGCTGGACCTCAGGCAAGATTTTTGAAGAAGCCTGAGCTTGCTGCTATTGACAATTGCAGTCCTGCTTCTTCCTCGTGCTGGCTCTGGTGCTCCATCATCTGCCAGACCCAGCACAGGGGAGTCAGGAGAAATGTATCACCCAGCTCTTTTAAGCACAACTATTACACTGTCTCAACCACCTCAAGAAGCCTCATCTTCACAAATGCTGCATCCAACTACACGAAGCTGCCTGCACCAAGGAAAAAGTAAGACTTAATAACTAGCGTTCAACTCCACATATGCTGGTCTTTATAATAAACTTCACTGTGAGGAGTACTGCTCTAATCCCCCCTATTACCTTTATTGCTGTGAGTAGCCTTAACACAAGCTTTCAAAAGCTGCAAAGCACAGGCCTTGCAGTTTCCATGGCTGTATTTCACTTCTGACCTATACACGGCTTTATAAGGTAACCCATTTCACTAGCAAGGCTTCCCTAGTAAGGGGTTATTTACAACTTAACTACGGTAAAATAGCCTGCGAGTCTTTCAAAATCAGTATCCACAACTAATTTATGTTGTCATAGGAAAACCTGCTTTGACTGTCAATAACACATCACAAAACAACACAGAGCTCCAGAAATACAGTATTCAGAACTATCTAAATCCTTGGGGGCAAGGAATAATCTCAGAAGACCACCATTAA